GCTGGTCATTCGACATGACGAATGACTTCTGAAGTCTTAATTCAGCTCAAGACGCTGTAGATTCCCGTCGGTAACACTTTCGGTCTGCTAGTAAAACGTAGTTCTATTAATCTGCTAATCACTGACCAATCTATTAATTTCAAATTAGACTAATTCAAATTCAGTTTTCAAAAGCATTTATTCAAGTTACAATTCAGATTTAATCTGAGCAATTCAAATTCAAATTTAACTTATTCAAATTCAGTTTCTGATGGCACAGATTTCTGCCCATACTCAAGTAATAAGAGAAATTATGAAGTCTAATATGTATATACAAGGTCTGAATGATGTCAGTTAGTGTGGTGTGGGCTAGGCTCATTTCCCAGTCCATTGTGATTGCATGTGGATGACGATCGATACCTCCTCTCACAGGCATAACTAACTGACTTCATCCATAGCTGAGCATGTGCATCAATCCATAGGTGGCACATAGTTGTGGTGACTGATGTATTTGGGTAAATGAATTGGAATGAGTGTTTTCAAATGGTTGAAGAAAAAAACCCTTCAGTCAAAATGCTGCCTTCATCTTTGCATTCGTCTCTGCTTAAGATGTAAAAGGAGGATGGAGCCGCGGACGCTGGAAGCTTTTTCCTTTTAACCACCATAAAAGTAAACAGCTTTGCTCTAAATAATGTTTGCCTATGTGTTCTCAGCACCATACTGTATCTTACATTCATGGATAATCCCTTTCACTTTCTCGTTCTTAAACAAAAATATATGGTTTTATTGTCTCCTTTTTACATAGTTTGACTATACTTCAGTGTTGTAGTGTTATCACAGCTTTACGCCTCTGAAAACTATTCATATTTCAAAGTCAAAGTCAAAGTCAACTTTATTGTCAATTCTGCCACATGTACAGGACATACAGAGAATAGAAACTTCGTTACTCTCAATCCCTAGATAAAATAGAAAATGAACATTTAAATATAAGAGTGATTAAAAATGCAAGTAAAATATTTTAAAGTAAAAAAAATTAAATAATATAATACAATTTTACATATAACAAGAAAGCTATACAATATACAATATTTATTATCTTTAAATAATTTATATTAGTAATAATGAGGCATTTGCAATAGATAAGAATTAGATTAGAAAATTTCTTCCAATCCACCCTGGAAGGCTGCTCTTCATTTAGAGAGGAGGTGAACCCTTAGCTGGGCACAGATGTCAAGCCAGCTGTAGAAATACTCCTGCTCAAGACTTTTTATTCAGGCACATGCACACTCTGGTCACCTTCCTTCATGGTTTGGTGGGTATTCATTCAATCAGACCACCTTCCCTCTTCCAAACACACACACATAGTCATTCACACTGTACACATTAGCATGTCTCACCCCAGCAATTAAACCCAGCCTACTGTAACATATAGGCAAAGCTTGGTCATTAACAACTGATTAAAATATGCTTACATGAATTAATACAAGCAGTTACATATCAATGTGAGAATCAGTATTTTAAGGATAAAGCAACACTGAGGACATAATACTATGTTCAAGTGGTCTATGTTCAAAAGAGTGCCTACACAACTGAGATAATTGAGACAACAGGTTGGGTCATTAGAAATATGGTCAAATATATGAGATTAAAATTATATCTAATGGATAAAATTGTCAACTGTCATGTAGTCCAATTTTTATGCCTATTTATAATCACTGTATTCAGTTCTGTCTGAGTAGTCTCGCAAGCAGAATCTGATCAGTGAAGGATAAAGGTATGTGAGAGTTTGGTGAATCATTAAACAATATATGAAACCTCTTCACAGCTCACATCTTGGACTTTGATGGACAGTGTCTGGTTTTTAAACCTGCTGGAATAAGACCACATATGACATTAAGTCAGGTGCAGCATGAAAAGGAGCAGCTAGGATGGAGGTTGGTTGCAAAGCAGCTTGCAGATGCACAGCAACTGTAGACAGCCCAAAGCAGTTTAATAGCATGTTTCTATACATTTATTCAAGGTGTGACAATTGGATGTGCAAAGGGGTATTAGCTTAGCTAATGTTGGCTTTGGTGAGATCAGCTGTTCTATAGGGATTGAGACTGAGTTACACTTTGTGGTTTGCCACAAGTTAACACTATGGCATTTATCCACCTATCAGTCTGACGTCATTAGCCGTTTCTGGGTCCAAACTCCTCGTCAGGTCCCAAAGTGAAACAAACACTGCAGTATCACTGAGAGTTACAAAGTGTCTAAATTCTTTAATCTTTAATAAAATGATCAGTGTGGCTGCTCTACCAGGTGAGTTTAACATCCAGGCATCCATGAGAAAGGGAATTTGTGAAATTTAACTGATTAATAAGTTCGCAGGGAGTTAGCTTGCTAGTTTCCATTTTAAGATAATATAATATATTCTGACTGAGGGATTTCTGTAAAAATTAAAATGTACAGCTCTGCTATTATATAAACACATTAGCTCAGTGAAGCTGGAGGATGAACACTAACTTGATAAAAATTAACATGAGGGTTCTCGATTGTTAGGGACAAATGCGATCGCCAGGATCCTGTAAATGGACCAAACTTCAGACAGGAGAACAAGTGAGATAATGCATCCACAATACGAGGTTAGTCAGTAAAATACTGCTGCATGCTCTGGACTGTAGTTACAGCATAAGGTTTTAAAAACTGAGCTTTAAAACATGCTGCTGATGAATATTGGTAATAAAAACCGAGAGATCACTGACCAATGATCACTGACTTTTTTTTAAGGGCTTGTTCCGATTAAATACAATAAGACAAAAACTGAACAGCCTTAATAAATGCAGAGTAGTTTGGACCCGGAAGCAGGGTTCATACACATCACTTAAAGATAATAGATAAGGAAATTTCTCCCCAATTCTGCTCCATAAGTAGCATTAAATGCAGGCATAATGTCCAGGCTCAAAATGGTAGCAGGATCTGGCAAATCTGTCATATCAATCACACTGTAACTGCTGAAGAGCAGCATCTTCCTGATCTGACTGTGGTGAAAGTGAGGATGAATGGACAGCAATTTGACCAACTGCAGGAGAGATGACAGCTCACAGCGAGGCAGACAGTCGCTTAGCCACTGAGTCCTAACCTCTGTCTTTTTCTTTGGCTGTCTTTCTACCGCTCTCTTTCTGCTCATCTGTTTGTTCCTTGCATCACCAAATCATGACTGCTCTCCTTGTTCCCGTTTTATCACACATTTGATTCCTATACTTAAAAAATATCTCCTGAAGAGGCATCATTGATTCAGTCTACAACCCTTCGAGGCATCCCTCTCCCATTCCTTTCCTCTATTCATCAGTATCTTTTCCTCTTCCTTTTCATCCCTCCTTTCATTCCCACACTTCCTTCCACTCCCATTCTCCCTCATCCTTCTTTCCTTCCTTCTTTCCTTCCTTCATCTCCTTCTTAAAACCTCAAACTCGCAGAGAGGATGTAGTGAGGCGAGACCTCGGCGTCGATGGGAAAAAAAAGGGAGAGACCATCAGCTCGCAGACGGAGGGATGCAGAAAAGGTATAGGTTGGAAGGTAGTAGTATAGGCCTTCTAAGTCCTCCCTCCCCCCTCCCCTCCCTCTGTGCATCCCATCAGCCCCCCCCCCCTTTTCCTGTGCCAGGGTGGTATGACCTGCTGGATTACAAAACAGCCCTCCCATGTGTCTGCCTGTTCTCTGTGCCAGCCGAGAGACAAGCGATACCAAGCTCCTGGAGCACTGATGAGGGCGACAGAGAGGAGGAGAAGAAGAGCGGGAGGAAAAAAGAAGGAGATGAGTAAAGAAGAAAGTGAGTGAGAAAGTGAATAAAGAGTTTCCAAATGGAAAGTAAGAGAGTAAGAGAAAGATGAGAAGAAAGAAGAGGAACGTAGTAGAAAAAGAGGCAGGAAGTATGAAGATATAGCACGGGAAGATAAACACTATAGAAACAAAAAAAGAGTGTTCAGGAAGCAGAGGAGGGAGTTTTGAGTGATAGCGAACATACTGTAGATGAAAGCTGTCGGAGGAGTGGGACGCTGAGAAGCGTCAGCATTGTCAGAGCATGTTCAGCCCTCAGGGACAGCCAGGGGTAAGTCACACACTACTCTGCTGCACATGCATGCATTCGATATCCACTGCTCTACACGCACGCACGCACACACACACACTTTCACTCAGGCGTTTACACACTACAGCATCTCAGTGTATGGATATACTCCCCTTTCGCCCTTTCGGAAAGGCCTAAAGGCTACATTTCATACCTAGTGGACACTTTACAATCATTCAACAAAGTCTTAAATGCTGTTCCAGTCAGGTTAAACGGTTTTCCAGTCGGTAGGAACATTCTCCTGATGTGGCCAGCCCTGCAGGTTAGAAGCTTTATCGCACGTTTAGCGAAGGAAGATCTCACAGACCTGAAAGATACCAACTTCTGCACGCAAAATCAACTGTGACAGTGTTTAACGGACATTAACGATGCCTCCATTTGTGATCTGTACTTTTCTTTGTCTTTGTTAGGATACTGTAGCATGTTATCACATAATAGGATTGATCAAGAGCGGAGTCATCAGGGGACAATGGTGTAGAGAGAGTGAGGGGAGCTTTGGCTGCATGGAATCAATTTCATATGATGTCTGACAGGCTGTCATGGAATCATTATGCAACCCCCCGACACAAAGAGATGCTTTAAAAAGCTGTGTGTGTGTGTGTGTGTTTGGATTGTAGTTGTAGTGCACTTACACATTCCTGTAGCACACAATCAACCTGTCATTTGAGCTCAGTTTCAAAATAAGCAAGACCCAAACCAGGTTACAGAAGCCATTTAGAAATTTTTCTGGATGGGAGAGTAATCATGGGTAGAGTTTTTCATGTGAGAGAGGCTTGCCAGTTCTAAGGAGTTGTTAGGCTGATAGTTAGCAGCACTGGACATCAAATTGATTCCTATGCTAGCAGGCAATGGGTCACTAAACCCAGTGGAACTGAAGGGTAGAGTGGGTTTTATTGTCTGAATGAGTCCTTGGCTTGAGTTGCTTTAACCCCCTGGGGTGGAGGAATTACAGGAAAGGAGGAGGAGAGGGCTGGTGCTCTCAGTGTCGCTGGGCGCTCCGCAGCAGCAGCCATATTAGCTCAGTTACAGGCCTCGGGAGGACAGCTGGGTGGCAGAGGTCGTCATGGTGAAAGGGGATGGGGGGGGAGGCGTCATGGTAAGTGGTTGTCATGGAAACTGTGCATGTGCTTCTGATGAAGTTGAGTGGGTGGGGACCCTGTGGACGAGGCTCACCTGGTCTAGTGAGATCATTATGATTGTTTTCTACCTGGAGCAGTTTTCTTTTTTCATTATTCACAATGTAAGCATTCACATTGCTACTTGGTTTAGTATCTCTGAAAGTCTTAATACTTAATGTTTATTATTTATTCACCAAGAGTAAAAGAAACAGCTGTTAACATGGCAGGACTGGAGAGACAAGGCGGGGTCAGTGGTTTTTTGTCTAAGCTCTGGAAACAAGCTTGCAGCTTGTGTTGATATTGACAGAGTATCAACGCAGCTCTGACACCGTGTGCTTCATTCATTAATCCACAGATAAATTCAGCCTTGCACATGCTCAGAGCTGCACATGCAGAGATGCATTCAGAAAGCTGTTTTAAACAAAAAAGGTTTTTTTTAAAAACCCCGCAAGGTCTTTTCATCGTTTAAACTGAGCTGAGTGTCAATTCTGGTGAAGTAAAATATCTCAACGATGTTTAAATGATCGTGTTCGTGGGCTTGGGATCTCCTTATTTGCATTGAATGGCACAGAGAGGAGTACACAGAGCTGGGTAGCTCATTACTATGCCAAGATAGGGCAGGTACTGTACATGTGGCACCAGCCCACCCTGCCTCATCCTCCCCCACAGGTTCCGTTTATCTAAGCTGATATCACACGCGCAAAAACATATTTTTTCTCTTATCCTGTTTTCTTTTTCATACTCTATCATAGTACGATCAGTTTACACCCCCATCCCCCCATGTATCTAAAAGCTTATTTTATGTGTTAATAATTGCCCAAAGCATTGATACTGATAGCTTATGAGTTTGTATATTTGGCCAGCTTTTATGCCATGAAGCCTCTGTGCTCTCACATGCCAGCGAGCACAAGCGAGAGATAATTTGAATATCTGAAATACACGGAGCAGTTGCTGTATGCAGCGGTGTACTGCAAAACCCCTCCACTCTTCTGTGAATCACACAAACACTTATTGGAAAACGTTTGAATATTTCTCATTAATTCCTATTGTTTCCCTGCTTTGTCGTGACAGGTGTTTGGAACCAGAGCGGAGCTCCAAGCTGGTTTAAAAACGTTGCATTTCTATTATAAAATCCAATAAAAAATTAATCCATACTAAGCATTTATATTTTAAAAAATCTGATTAGTTTTGTATGTTTTATTTGATCCGATCTGCTTGTCTCGCTGACTGTTTGGTCATCCTTGTGCTCTCTTGTCAAGAGGCTGTGAGGCGGCAGCCTCGGTGGCCAGGCCATCTCAGAGAATACAGCGGTGTCATCATACACGGGGAAACTTGTATTTCACTGAGACTGGCCACTGACCCTGCTGCTGTGTGTGTGTGTGTTTGTGTGTGTCAGTGAGATGGCCTCTGAAGGAAAAGGAGTGGGTATCCATATACTGTGCTTGAGTGAGGGACCTTGGGTGTGGCATGCACTGACTGAACGCCTTTGTGCCACTCCGATGTGTTTAATCCTCTCGAAATTTGTCTGCATCCTTTTTCTTTTCCTTTAGCTTTGTTAGTTTTATTAAAAGCATTTTCAGAGAATGACATGGAGTGGTGGAAGGGCATGTGTAATAGAACACAGTGTACTATAAAGAGTCATATCTTCCACCGGGATCGCATTGAAGCTGAGAAAATGCAGACCATCAAAGAAGCTCTCACATACTCATACATTATTTTAAAGCGCTGCTTGATTATGGTTGCAATTAAAGGCTGTAATATATTTATAATGTTTTTCAGTCTATCAAAGAAGTTCCTGACATTTAACAGTAAATACAGTAAAGTTTTCTGATGTTAATAAATACTATTCATTTAAAACATTTTTACACATTACATATAAACGCCTGCAGGTGAAATGTCTGTGTGACAAACTTTAACTCTTCATGGCTCCAAAGTCAGATCTCATTGTGTTCACATTAAATCCCAGACAGTAGACAAGTGCTTCTGCACTGCTCTCTACAGGTGAAAACACATTATGATATATATGTATATATA